AAACGAGTATGTGTGTAAAGTTATGAAGTGTGTCTGTTACGCTAGAAGAGTCAGAGTTTGGGATGGAGTGGAGTGTTACCGGAGTTTCTGGAGTGCTCAAATAAACGGGCCTTTTTCCCGAACGCTCCTCTGGTCTCCTGCTCGTGAGGGATTCATTACAATATCGTAACATGGTTTAGATTTCTAAATAAACATTCACCTCGTCGCTAGATAGACCTACTCCTGAAAAAGTCGTGCGCAAGGCTTTTTGTCCCTATGAGGCCACCGTCATTTACCCAACGGGAGGGGTGAGCGAGTGAGCCCTGCAATCTAGAATTTGACCACTGATGTCACTGTTTTCAACCCATTTTACACACTTGGCCTTTAATGCTGTTTTTCAAAGGGCTTCCACACACTTGAACCACTGTTTTTGACACGGCTGTCTGAGCTGAAGTAGAGCCATCTAATTCATTTTTGCTCTGTTCACTGGAAGCAGACCGCAGAATTTACAAGTGTCTTTAGTTCCATGTGACGCATATGGAAATGGACAAATTATCCATTTTTTGTCCGTCCGTCCCATCTTTGTGAACACGTAATCTCAAGAACGCCTCAAGGCTCTGATTGGAGGGAGAGCTAACCACGCCCACTTAGGAGACAGGAAGAGTAACCGTTTTCTTAACATTGGATAAGCCTATGGTGGGGTATCTCTGGCTACAGTTAGCAGTGTGTTTCCCTCTTATCTCGCTGCTTTCCAAACTGCCAGCTGGCTGTCGCTCTGCATCACGTGGTATAACGCTACGTCGTTGGGAGCGCTTGTTTTTATGCAGATGATGTCCCGACTCCCGGCATGGGTGGGGCCGGCAGAATCGCTGTCATTGAAAAATGCATATGAATCAAGATCACGATTTTATTACGATTAATCGTGCAGTCCTATAAGACAGTTGTTTTGTCGGTGAATGTTGTAAGTTGTAATGGAGCCAAATCATGTGCCGTTACCTTTGCTAAATGTTGCTGTTGTCCCTGGTTTTATATGAGAAGAGGAAATGATCGCTAGACGCTAGGCCAATTTATACAATGTAAAATGCCATAGACTTGTGCTAATAACGTTAGCATGTTGTATTGGTGGGGGAAATGTGTCCAGATAAAGACAAGTGTTTGTCTGTCAGTTCTGCGATTTATAGTGAAGCCAATTTGTGTACTTGAAATTGTCTCAATTAAGACATATTTAATGTGTGTTTTGAATCAACTATATAAATAAAGTTTGATTTTAAATAAACTTTACAGCACTTAACACAGTCCTCCACCGCCGACTAGTGTTTTGGAGGTGTAACTGCAGAGTGACACAGGCACACCACTGCAGAAGTAAAACTAACGTGCAGATTTTTTTTCTTCCCACGACTTATCAATTAGTTGAAGATTATGTGCGACTTTAGTCAACCAAGATTTTCTTTGGTTGACTACAGCCCTACACCTCAAATTTGGCACAAATGTTCACTTGGACTTATCAATGAACTGATTGGATTTTGGTGGTCAGAGGTCAAGATCAGTCTGACTTAGGCCTTATTTACACAGCAAGGGATGCGTTCATGTAGCGCTCGCAAACGTTCACTGTTTACACATGTTTTCATTTCGGCGAGCATGTTAACAGGTTAGAGCATTCACACCGCATCCGTTCTACACGCTGCTCGAGTCGTGCTGCTTTCGCGAGCAAGCTCGAAAATAGAAGAGACGAGTTGCGAGCAAATGGTTTCTGTATTCAACAAAACAACTTGTGTTTGCATGTGTTGTGACCTCTCTTGGCCACCGTAGGCACCGAGACGAATGGGCTTTTTGTGCTAAGGCTAGTAATACAAAGCAGACAAAGACGTTTGTGGTGCTAAATATTAATTCTCCACGCGTAGGAATAACCACTTGCGTGCAAACCTGTCCAACCTGGGCTTTGGGTCCAAACTCACTTCTTCTTTAGGGTTTATTGGAGATTTGCAAACACGGTGCACTACCGCCACCAACTGTTCAGGTGTGGTTTGTATTTTGACGGGACAGCAGTAGTTGCTGTGAGACACGTCTGTTCGGTTTTGGTGTGAATACACGTGTGCTACTGCTACGCTTGTGGACCGTTTCGCGACCGCATCGCTTATGGTGTAAATGAGGCCTTAGCATCTGTCTCATTCTTGTGAATGCGTTATGTCAAGAACACCTTAACAGAATTTCTTTAAATTTGACACAAATGTCCACTTGGACCAAAGAATAAACTAATTAGAATTTTGTGGTTGAAGGTCAGGGTCACTGTGAACTTTACACAAATGTGTATGAGGATGAAATAATGAAATGATGACTTTTTATAATCAAAAGGTCAAAGGTCAGCTTAAATGTGACATCATAATTCTCTGCATAAAACTTTTCTGGCCATTATTCAGTGTCATATCTCAGGAACAGAAGGGGAGACATTTAGTCAGATAATGAATTGGTGACATGACTCCTGGGTGTCCACCTTGAAACTGTGCTGGTTGTATAGATCTGTGTGTGCTGTCCGAGGGAAAATGTGTGTGAGGCATACATGTGTTTACAGACATGGATGTAAACTGTAAGAGAAACATGACTGGTGCGAAGTGGTATACAACCATGTGGCAGTAATTCAAGTTTTTTTAGTAGTGGCATGAGTAAGTTGGATTTCATGCAGGAAAACCCTCATCCTTCGCTAGAACTGCCAGTTACACCTGCAGATTTTAAATATTTTCCCCTATACTTCACTTTGAAGTGCATATATCCATCCATATATCCTGTCTCTATATTGAAGTTACAAAAGTAAGATTATCCAGGAACTTCTCCTCCAAGGTTTAAGGTTTATTAATTGTCATTGCACAACACAGTGTTGCACAACTAAATGCACATTGTAGTCTCTTTATGCTACACAAGAAAAACCAAACAATTTTTATGGTGGATAACAATGCCAGTTTGTAATGTTTTCAGTTAGTATGCTTTCTATTACTCCTCTGTAAAAATTGACGAGAACTTGGCATGGGAGGATGGCATGGAATTTTGAGTCTTATTAAGTTTCCTGAAGAAATGCAGCTGTTTCTGAGCTTGCTTAACCAGGGTGGTGAAGTGACATGACCATGTCAGGTTCTCTGTGATGCTAAATCCCAGTAACCTAAAACTTCCTCCACCTCAGCTCCACTGATGTAGTAATCATGGTGGCTGTGGCTCAGGAGGTAAAGAGGTTGTCTACCAGTCAATAGTGGTTTGATCCCTAGCCCCTGCTGTCTAGAACCCCAAATTGCTGGTGTTTGAATGTGTGTGAATGATTATCTGAAGAGCAGGCATCTTGTATGGTAGCCTCAGCTACCAGTGTACGAATATGTATGTGAATTGTGTGACTGGTGCCTGTAGTGTAAAGGGTTTTGTGGTCGCTAAGACTGTAAAAGCGCTCGTTGTGTAAATGCAGTCTATTTTGCATTTTTGTAGTTTCCTTTAAAAGATTTATTTTAATCATATCCTCACTTTTCCATATTGTGAACATAAATGAGTCTCCTGGATAATTTTGTGATACTATAACTTTATGTTTTTAATTACTTCAGTTGTTTTTTTGTTTTGTTTGTTTGTTTGTTTTTTTAAGAAAAAAAAGAAGTCTTTGATTCAAGCTTTTTAAATATAAATATTTTCTGGTTTCTTTATTTCTTTATAACAGTAACTAAATATCTTTGGGTTGTGGCAGAGCCTTCCATAAGCACCAGCTGCAGACCAAACAGCCAACTACTCATACAAGTCCAGTCGGCTACTTTATTGTACTTGTATTGTATTCATTTTTAATAAAATAGGTTTGATTAACAATTACTCATGCAATGAGCTAGGGTTGTGCCGATGGGCGATCCGATCGCCCATCGGCAATAGAAGGGTTGTTTCACAAGGGTTGTTGTTGATGTCTTTTTTAAATGACGATGCAATTGCGAGGTGTGGGGGGGAGACAGAGCGTGTGTGGAGCATGCTGACGAGATCGAGGCTGAACGAGGCTGAGTGAGAGGAGACAGAGGGAGGCTGCTTAGTGAGAGAGCAGAGGGTGGGGGGAGGAGGGGGGGAGATCAACGCCTCCACCCGCTCGACGCAAGCATACTCGGGCGTACTATAAGCGGAGCGGACTCCGCGAGGAATGTCTGCAGTCATTCGGGCTTTCATAGTCGAGCACACTTCCGCATTGTAGTTTCCTGTAAAAATGTCCGTGAAAAATCCCTGCGATGTGAAAAATACATGCCGAGCAGTCACTGGTGCGCAGTCGTAAAATCTGAGCTTTGCGCGCACAGGGCTTGCGGACTTCCGCTTTGAGTCCACGCGGACCTCGTATGACCTCCGTTCCGCGTATGTTCCGCCCAAGTATGTTCGGGCCTTAATGCGCATGTCGCGGAGCGGTGAACAAACCAAACAACACAATGTCAGGAGAAATTGAAAAGATATGCCGTCTATGTAAAGTCAACTTGCTAATTAAGGAGCCATTACATGTTCAAGAGTTTTATAAAGCTGCTCAAATGCCAAAGAGATGCTATAGGTGAACGATTCAGCGGTGACGAGTAATGACCCCCTGCCCCCCCGCCCCCCCGCGATGACATCGTTCATCGGCGATTTCACTAGATGACGATAGGACAATAGGATATGGACAAGATCGCCCAACTCTACAATGAGCCCTTCACAAGATGGAATAAGCACAGAACACCTTAAGTATCCCAAGAGCACCTGAATGTGACTAGGATGTGAAGATCCGTCGCTCTGCATCGATATATCGAGTAATGATCAACGATCCAATGTTATCAATTCAAAGTGAAAGCATTGATCCATATTGTCATCTTTAGGATATGCTTTTATTTTGAAAGTCTGTGTCACTGTCAAACAGCCAGGCAGATGGCAAACAGCCAAGAGAAAGACAATGAGGATAACCCTATTTACTCTGGAATAAATCAGCAGTGTGGAAATATTTTCAGTTTTGGAGAAAATAGGTCAATAGACAGAGCACATACAGAATGTAAACAATGCCATTAGGAGATAAAACACAATGTAACATTACCTGCCTGGCTGGGCATCTCATCCTGTTAACTTCTCACTACAGCAACATTAGCGTCTCTGTTTCAGTGATGTTCGGCTGAAAAAAAGGTGCATGCAGACTGAAATTCAACTGTGTTGTTCTTTCGGGAGATGTAGTGACTTAAAGGTAGGATCTGGAGGATTTTCAAACAAAACAAAATACAGACATATACAAATGAAATCCTGCTTAATCATCACCTATGGGCTTCTACTCGTGTGGTGGTGACTCTGTTTGCAGAGCTCCTGCCCTTTAACTGTATTTTGATGTTTTTGTGAGCTCAGACCGCTTCTGGGCGGAGATTTCCCCAGCCAATGAGAGAGCGCAGGCGCCGTGCCCAAGCTTGTCCGAGCGTGCACCAGCGCGAGCCTTGCCTGAACCTCTTCTGTGAAGCCTTCTTCCGTACCTCCGGGCTCTGTACACCCGGGAGAGTTGAGCCTGATAGGAGGGGCCAAATTTGAATGTGTGTTTACAAACAGCAACTGGAAAATCCTCCAGACCGTACCTTTAAACCAATGATGAGAAAGAAAAATGATAACGTCACATGCAATTTGTTAAGCAATGAGAAGAGGGAAAAAAAAGTCCGCTAGCAGCTAGGCTAATATGCAATGTAAACATGCTTAAGCTAATAATGGGTCAATAGAAAAAAACAATTGTTTTATCCATGAACCTCGATTGGCTGACACCTGGTCCTGGTTCCCAGTCGGCAATGCAGCTGACCCCTGTTCCTCGTTTCCAGTCTGTGATCCAGCCAACACCTGCTCGTCGTTTCCAGTGGGCAGTCTGGCAGACACCTGTTCCTGCTGTGCTACAGCGATCCACTGAGGATGAGCTTCAACTGCTATTGGTTCCCAAGCTGCAGCAGAGCAGTCTTCAATGCCTGCCCATCTGCAGCAGTCACTAGTTCCTGCCCAGCTGCAGCACTCCCAAGTCCCTGCTGAGCTGCAGCAGTTTCCTGGTTCCCTGCTTTCACTAGATTCCAGTTCTGCTCTCCAGCTGTTAGCCTCCTGCCTTTCTGTCCTGTCAGCAGCCTCCTGCTTGGCTCTCCATGGGTCCAACCTGCAGCCGGATCATCAGCTACCAACTGACATTCCTAATCTTAAGTTCCTTGATCATCCCCCAGTGGGGTCTCATCTTCATGATTGGGTTCCAGTGGGATCCCATCTCCATGATTGTGTTCCAGTTGGGTCTCGTCTCCATCCTCCAGAGGGGTGCAACTTCTTTGCCAAACTCTGTGCCATCCTGTGGCCCTGCCTATGTTGCTGACTTCCTGAGGTGCTCTGCGCATCTGGTCACCCTCCTGAGCTGCCTCTTTCTACTGCCCTGAGCCCGTCTACCTGGGGTCTCATGCTCTTAGAGACTGTATGGGATGAAACACACACACATAGCCTAATTAGATATTTCGAATAGATATAAATCAAAAATAGGCATTAGTTGCAGCCCTACTACAAAGTACAATCTATGTTTCACACATGAAAAGTGCGCAAATCATAATTTTAAGGGCTGAGATTGGATGTTTTGTGCCAAAATGCACCTTCTTGTGGCCTCCACCTCCTCTCTTCCCCTCTTATTTTTCTGATAGCTGTGGTTGAGTTTTGCAGGCAAGCTAACCCATCAGGAAGTTATTGACATTGCAGCTTCTACTGTCCTTACTGATGTGACATGCAAGAGTCCTGCCTTCCTGTGACAAAGCTGAAATCTTTTCTGACACTGTGTGTGTGTGTGTGTGTTTGTGTGTGTGTGTGTGTGTTTGTCACAGACCTCTTCAGCCTGTTTGCCAGTGATCTGGGTGGATATGCTGCTCGGGAAGATATAGAAGCAGTTCTGCAGGTCTTGGATGGAGAAGTTCCTGCTTCCGTCAAAAAGTGCTTCAGTGAGGTCAGCAAACACCACAGCCTGTCTGTCACCACATGAATACGCATATTAGCATTTACAGTCATTCTAGTCAAATGTCTTGTTAACTCATTTTGGACATAATGACCGCAGCAAATAAGCTACAGACTGATAATTGCACCCTCATCAATTGATTGATTTTATTAGGCCATTTCATTTTATAAAAAACACAACATTCCATTCCATGATCTCTCTGGCTCATGTTAAGTTTGTTTTCATCGTTACAGAGGTGTTTGTCACGTGCTCATAAAACAGCTATTGTTGTAAGTTTCCCACATGGAGCCACCTCCACAGACATGATGCAAAGTTTGGCAGTACAGTGAGTTATTGTGCTTGTTAATAGAGTACAAAAGCGCCTTTTGAAATCAAAATGGTGGTCACACCAGATACTGACTGGTTTTCTGATCCCCCCAGACCCCCCAATAAAGCAAAACTGAACATTTTAGAGTGGCCTTTTATTGTGGCCAGCCTAAGGCACACCTGTGCAATAATCATGCTGTCTAAAAAAAGGGAGGCGGAACTGCATCAGTAACAAAAACCATAATGTCCTCAAATTAAGTTTCTTTTAACAGTTACACATCATTTGAGCATCATGCTCAAATCTACACATTTTTAAACCTCTTAAACTGTTTGGATTTTAAACAACATATCACACAGCCGACCCACAGCAGAGGGTGCACCCTGGACCTGGTCATAACCTATGGCCTGTCCGTGAGTGTGTCCTCTGTTGTGGACCTGGCTGTGTCCGACCACTTTTGTGTGTTTTTTAACATCACCAGTTTTAACCAACAGGAGGTCCAGATTTTACAGAGCACACCTGCAGAGATTTTACCAACACCCTGTGATTTTATTGTGGACAATTTTAACAACAAACTCAAGTCAACGCTGGACTCAGTGGCTCCACTTTTAGAACAAAACCAACACCCCCTTGGAGAAATCAGGAAATCAAACAACTGAAAAGATACTGTAAGAGTGCTGAGAGGAGATGGAGAAAATCAAAACTAACAGTCCACTACGAATTATTACATCAACATCTCAAAACCTACAATAACGCAATCAAACAGGCAAGAATTTCCCACTTCAAAAAACTAATCTCTGACAATAAAAACAATCCCAATTTCCTCTTCTCCACAATTGATATTTTAACAAACAGTAATTTTAACAGATCGCCTAAGACAACAGCCAATGCCCTTTGTGAGGACTTTGCAGACCACTTCAGAAGTAAAATCAGTGACATCAGATCCAGTCTTTTATCTCAACAGATTTTAACTGTCGACACACCTGGATCATTGCTTTTACCTGAGGAAACACTGGAGAGTTTTGCCCTGGTTGATGCGAGGACACTTGGTCGAGTTTTCTCCCAAGTAAAGCCCACAACCTGCCTTTTAGACCCAATTCCCACACAGTTTTTTAAAACATTTTATGGATTCTTTGAGGAACAGCTACTGTACATGGTGAATTGCTCTCTTCAGACGGGTGTCTTCCCGACCTCCTTGAAAACGGTGGTGGTGAAGCCCCAAGCAATTTAGACCCTAACATTTTTAATAATTATCGGCCTGTATCCAACTTACCATTTTTAAGCAGAATTTTAGAAAAACTGGTTTTTACCCAAGTAAATTATTTTTTAGATACAAGTAACACTTTAGAGAAGTATCAGTCTGGTTTTAGGATGAACCACAGTACCGAGACAGCCCTTTAAAAGATTTTAAACAAAATCAGGTGCAATTTAGATAAACTCACAGTCTTGGTTTTACTGGATCTAACCGCCGCTTTCGATACAGTCGACCATCACATTTTATTAAATAGACTGAGACACCTGGTCGGCCTCTCTGGTACTGTTTTTAACTGGTTTGTCGCTTACCTTACTGATCGACACTTCTTTGTAAGTATGGATACATGTTCCTCAGGAACCCATGAGATAAAGTGTGGGGTCCCCCAGGGGTCAATTTTAGGTCCAACTCTTTTTAATCTCTACATGCTTCCCCTGGGGGACGTCATCAGAGGCACGACATTAGCTTTGCCCTTTTTAACTGCATTTTAGACATAAAGTCATGGATGGCAGCGAATTTCCTGCAGCTCAACCAGGACAAAACAGAGGTTTTAGTCATTGGTCCTGAAGGCCAGAGAGAGAAACTTTTACCAAAACTACAGGATTTTAAACTAAAACAATCTGTAAAAAATCTGGGTGTGATTTTTGACTCTGAGCTCTGTTTTATTCCACATATTAAAAACATAACAAAGGTAGGTTTCTACCACCTTAAGAATATAGCCAGAGTC